AGAATTTGTAAATAATTCAAGAGCATGTTAAGCTCGCGCCAGCTGGAAATACTCGAATTGTGCATAGCGCGAATATAGTTATACGAACGTATTAGTCCATGCAAGTTTCGCACATTTCCTGGGTATAATGGTTTCGTCTTTGTTACCGGACACCGAGGGCGCACCTCGAAACATTCTCAGTATTTAGTTGCTGTAATCCCCGTAGATGCTCCGATGCCAACGCGGTTCACGTTCCCAGAAGTTTGCGTTTCGTTGCCCAACAAAGCGTCGTTGTTTGCGCAATAATAATTTTCGGCCATGTTTCGCGCCTCGAACGAAACGCAAACTATGGCTGAGAGACTTTAAGCAACGTGTACCTTAAAAAACGTGTCAGTTTAAAAATTAGACACCTTGTTCCTTTTGTCGAGTCACTATAGGCGAAACTTTACTGCTGATAAGTCGAACTAACACAAATGCAAAACTTGGAACCGAATTTTGTGGCAAAGACAAAATGCACGAGGGCGCAAAGTTCGACTCGTACGCGGAATTAGGTTTCGCGGGTGTCAATTCTAGTACGGTTCGCGGTTTATTTCGATCGCGGTATCGCGATAGACAAGATAACAGAAGCAGTACGTTCCAGTTAAGCTAACGAAACCGCGCGAATCGTGGATCTTCGTCTCGCGAACGCAACTTCGCCAATCGCGGATGTCAACCGGATGACATCAATTCGAGCATCTGACGATCATAATTCGTGATTAAGATCTTCGTCCTGATTATTCGTATTGCCAGAGTTACGCACAGACATGGTTCACGGTCGATGCAGCTCATTGCAAACGCGTGTGTTCATAGAAAACGGATTTTCTGAAGCTGGACTTTGCAATTTGTTCGTGGTGAATAAATGAAGGATTTCTGCAGGATGTGGGGCAGGTTTATAACAGCGTAGTTTTTAAAGAGCCCAGGTATTATTAGTCTCCGTCCGTACACATAATGGGGAACAGGAACTCGTAGGTTCGGGACACGTTCGTTCACTATAACCCACGTGTATGCGATCGGTTGCATTGTACGCTCGCCCGAGCGTGTAAGTAGGTGCGTGCAGTCACGTGTGCCCGATGCCCACGCGTGAATATTTGCGTGGGCTGACGTTTATGGCGTCGCTTTTATCTCCCTGGCTAGATCCTGCGGAATATCTGCGATGTTGTGCCTTTGGATCTCGAAAGGGAGCTGATTCGAGCATAAAATAAAACAAACTTGTCGCGTGAATGGTAAACCGTTTTCTGCCATTGCTGTTCCTGTTTCATTAAGCTGTTGTAACGTATCGACTTGTCGATCGTGCCACGAATTACTATCCATCCCGCGTATGAGCGTCGCACGTGCGAATATTCGGGGTGCGATGACGCTTAGATTCGCAGGGAGTGCCATTCATACCGGTGGTACCCGCAGGCAGGGGTGCCACCAGCAATGGCGCGAAGGAACGTCGACGTCGAAGCTGTGAAAAAGCCACCAGCCAAGCCCCATTCACGCCCGACACCCGTTATCACACATATTTAGTCGAGGTACACGGGCGTCGCGTAACCACTCTGTAAACGACATTCCTCTGCCTTTCCTATTCACCCCCCTCTCCGCCCCCTTTCTTCCTTTATTTCTTGTTCCCTCGCTTTCACCCTTCCGACGACTTTTTTTTCCCCAACCCCTGGCAAAGTCATTCTCATTAATCCAAATCGACGCCGACAACGTTCGTCTGAATGAAGCCGCACCCGCGATCCTCTTTCAGTCGGCCTTTGTGGCCAACTATTAAAAGGCTCATCTACTGTCTGGTTAGCGGAGCTCGTGGAATATTCCGCGGGAAATAAAAATACCGGCGAATATTCGCGAATTCTCCCGATGCCGAAATCGCCGCGTTATACCTGTAAATTATTTACGTTTCGATAAACGCCGCGAATGTCGGCTTTCAGGCAGCCGCGATGCAAAATTTGTATTCGTACCTCGGGTAGTTTTTACTCACTGCCAATTAGTTAGGCTTCTGCACCTACGATGTTGCAATTTGTCTCTTTGCACAGATAAACAAAGTAACTCGAGAAAGCTATCAAACTTTAAAACCACGGTACAATGTATCAGTTTCGAACGCTGTTGAAATTTCCAGTACATATACATACGTAAATAAAAAACGGTTCAATTTCTTTGTTCTGTTTTTCAATCGTAGCCGTCTTCTTTCGACCGAACTGGTCGTTGTCCAGCTTCCTGCTTCTTGTCTGTCCCCGTCGCATACTGTCTGGGTTTCCGGGAAACTTTGAATGGAACTAATCTCGAGAGGAGGATCGTTTAGAGTGACCTAGTATCAATCGATCGTTATCGTCTTTATTTATAGGTACAGTTTTACCTTGACGGGAAATAAGACCAGCTTGTCATGGTGGACATATTCAAAGTGCACTGCTCGCGTGAAACACGAGTACGTTTATTAATTTTCGGGTACGATAGAAATAGAAATGTAGAAACATGCCATATCACAGATACAATCATTCTGATATCTTATACGTATAGAATAGTGTTTCAGCATGATCTAGAAATTGTTTTGGTCAGTTTTCAGTTCCATCCCGATTGTTTACTACTTACGTTTACACAGATACCGATATCGATTCGAGCCCGTTCAAGTGGATCCTTGTCGAGCGAACGAAATCAATGTCATCGTTAATCAGATTAGGCAAATGTATTACGTGCTATTGATCCAGTGTTGAACTATAGTTTATATAGTACCGACATATTGCAATGCTCTGATTAATCACCTTTGTAATGCCGCGCGCGAAACACGTGCTTCGATCTCGATACCTGTCGTTGGTAAACAATGTAAACTATTCCGAATACACGATTTTAACGCGTTTTCTTTGGTTCGTGTGAAATTTTTACAAAATAAAACATCGTTGCAACCTGCAACGAAACGAATAACCCGGTGACCAATGTGCAGCCATCAAAACGAAAACATTCGCAACACGATTGATAGGACGGAAGTTCCGGAATTCGGGAACTGAATTTTGCAGGAAAGTTCGAGTACCGATATTCATGGCACCGTGGGGCTCTAAAATATCGACGCGGTCGGGGCTGGGAATCAAGAGAAATCTATTTATTGGCACGAAAGGTACGCGAGAGAAATAAATTTCGAAAAAAAAAAATGAAACATCGACGCGGGTTGCAATCTTTCTCGCGAACGAATCATTCAGTTTGTATAATTAACAAAATTTTTGATAAATTCTTCGAACTTGGTTGCACGTATCTCGTGGTTTCTATTTACCGGTGGATGAGAAAAGAGAATGAACAAAGAGAAAAGCGATTCTTACGCGAAGGGTAGCGTCAATGACCACGATCAAACCGAGCACAAGAGGGTGGTCTCTGAATATGCTGGGGACATAAAGAAGACGCGGAACAAACGGCGAGGGAGGGAATAAAAAGTGCGAGGAGTATTGAATCCTCCGTGATGTCGGAGCAAGTACATTTGTCGCGACCCCGCAATATTTCGGGGTCTGTCTTCAATGGGTGCACGTGCGCCGAATTCGGCTGCGGTTACAACCATTATTCTCTTCGCAGACACAATCCTGTTGCATTTCGCTTTCGGCCACGGCACCGTGCTCGGATTCTGAAGCTGTTTAAGGCGCGCTTCCAGGAATACAATGTCTTTCCTCCAAAATGAACGTACGCGCGTCAAATTTGCCAAAGAAACAGACGTCCTTAATTCACCACTCGATACGGAGTCAATAGCCACTTGTTAACACATTTTCTGGTTTCTTTTTAATTAAAAGATCAACAACTAGTTCAGTACGTACATTTTCTTGGAGTTGATTATTAAAAATTGCCTGTTACGACCATGTTATATGGAATTGATTGAATTTTATCGCTGTTGGAATAAAACATGGGTGGCTGTAATTATGAATACGAATTCTGGGTGAAGGCTCGAGTGATTAAAAATTGGTGTAGTTTCAATTTGGCCCGAACCGAGTGTGTACCAGCTTAGCAGATTTGCCAGGGGATTACAGTGGCTTACTCGCCATCGTTGCTTCGTAATATATAGAATCCTCACTCGCGAACACGATGTACGATGTTCGCCAGAGTTCAAGGAATTTCTGAACAAACTTTTGCTGAAAGGAGGATTTCGCGCAACAACAAAAGTTAATATTATGGCTATGTGCGATTAATACTGCTACTGCTGCTGGGGAAAAAAGGTCGAAGAATGTCCGAGTAGTTCTAAGAAGTTCGTAGCCACGAGTTTCGAACGTTAATGGATACAGCGGTGATCGATGATATAATTTGACCGATGATTGCGTGTAGATGACTGACACTGTCGGTTACAAAGCGATACACGTTCGGCAGAAGTTGTGCCTGCTTCTAAAATAGATTACTCTTCGATCTGGGAACTTATTCTTTCATTCTTCGACGCAACAAAATTTTCGCCGAAATTTAAAAGTTTCAAATCGTTCTAAAAAAATTATATTTAGTTACTGGGCCCAATTACAAGTATTTTTGGTCATTAGACATACTCCCGAAATCCTACGCATTTTCGAGAAAAAAATTCGAAAAGGTGTGAAATTTTTCGATAAAATTAAAGATTTCAAATCGTTCTAAAAAAATTATATTTAGTTACTAGGCCTAATTACAAGTATTTTTGATCATTAGATATACCTCCGAAATCCTATCCGTTTTCGAGAAAAAAATTCGAGAAGGTGTGAAATTTTCAACAAAATTAAAAAATTTGGAATCGTTCTAAAAAAAATATTGTCGGCTGCGGGGGTCAATTACAATCATTTTTGATGAGCACACATACCCCTGAATTCCCACGCATTTTCGAGAAAAAAATTCCTAAATGAAAATATAATGTCTGACCATACTTTGATATGTTTCACTGAAATTTCATACGTACGCTTAAAACACCATAACTTCCGAACGGATTGGAGGATTTTAATATTTTTAAATGCAAACAATGCGTACACTATCACGTGTATGCAATCATATTAACGTTAAATTTATTTTTGTTACAGAAAGCCTGTGCGGACCCCACGAAAAACGCTTATTGAATAAACTGCTGTCGGGGTACAATACCTTGGAGCGACCAGTAGCCAATGAGAGCGAGCCTCTCGAGGTGAAGTTTGGCATCACACTGCAGCAGATCATAGACGTGGTGAGTTGTCTTTTTCGTATTCGCATCATCATCGATCATGCGATACGGAGACAATTTTGCTACCAATTTAATTTTATATCGCGTGAAATTAAACGTGACGTAAGATGTACGGAGACTTTTGTCGATCGACTGTATTTTCGTTTCCATTGGCAGTAAACTGCACAATACGACCACCGTACAGAAATGAAAGTAAACACACACACGTACACAGGCACACGACACATATAATCGATAGAACTTCGATATGAAAGATTTTCTATTATGACCCCCTCCTTTCTTTCGTCATATATAAGGAGTTACCTGAATCGTATATGAATACTGTTTGTTACCATTCGATCGGGTTTCTTTTCTCGCGCATTCATTGCACCGCGCAAATAAAAAAAAAAAATCCACAATGACATAACTGCGACGTAGCGAAATATAATGGCTGTGGAGGTATGATAAAAGTTTATTCTCGACGCTAATGGCGGGGAATAAAACCACGGAACTGTAGAATGTAAAAACTACTAAAATTTGATACGTTAATGTATCGTTTGGAAGTTAGAAATAAGTAAAAGGAACATTAGTACTCGCGGTACGATGCTGTTGGAGAGTTTATTTGCCAGTGAAAGTGAGACTGTAAAGTACGGCGTTAAATAAAATATTTAGTGTCAATAGCCACGTAATATTTCCAGAGATTTCTTCGAACGGAAGATTGCAAAAGTCGCGCGGCGATGCGGTGCAATTTCCGCGGCGAGATACACCTTAGAAAACTGCCGTCCTGCAATCTTTGCGTGAACTGCAAAGATAAGGAGGCTCGCGATTAGGCTGCACGAGTTTTTGCTCGTCAAAATATCGGTCTTATCTAAATGAGAGCGCGGTTAACGGGGCAAGGGGGGGGGGGGGGACGGAATGAAAAGAGGGAAAGAGGTGGTGAACGAGGCAGATTGCATTACGTTCTCCATTTTCGCTAGCCTTACTTTGCCCATTTACTTTATGTACCCTTCCTTTTGTGCATCGACCCACCATCACGCGAAACACCTTTCTACTATGTAAGTACCGTAGATTCCGATGAACGAAAACATTTACGGCTCTCATAAAAGATTCTTTACGAAGATGCCACGCGTAATTATTGCCTGCTTTCCTTTTATTTAATAATTTTCAACCTGTTCGTTGAGAAAAGCTACGAATAGACTAGTCTTTGACGTGTAAATTACAGCTAGACCAACGATTTACGTAAAAATATACCGTACCATGTTTTTTTAAAGGTATTTTAATTCAATTCCGGCGAGAGTTGCTAAAATTAATATTGTCCGTGTGTTTCGTACACAACGTTACGTTTCCTGGTTTCCTCCTCTGCGCGATCATAGAAAGAGTAATTACAGCGGCAAACGTTCTTCGGACCATGCAACTTTGCACGGAACAAAGTAAACAGCACTGGAAAATTCCGATATAAGACGTACTCGGAATGCAAATACGTGGAACGTAATTATTTCAGACAACAAGCGCCCCCTTTGTACCTAAGTCTGTGTGTCTGTTTGTACAGGACATTTGCGAAAAGCGTAGGAATTCAGATATAAAGCTGACGTTGCAATTCAATTGAAAGTCACTGTCGACCACGAAGACGCAATAGAAAAGAAACAAGTTCGAAAGTGGAATTAAAAATAACGCGAATCCTTTGAAATCGTTTAAATCGTATTTCCAATTAATTTTTCGTCCGTTTCTGTATAAATTTTGTATTTAATAAGATACATAACGCGCTGATAACGAACCACTCTGTTGGCAAAGCGAGATCGTGCGTTTTTTCACATGAAAATTGTACACGACCGCAAAGATACACGACAAAAAGATCGATCAGCAAAATTCTCCCTCGCCTCGCACTTATTTTTACATCCCGTTGCTTTCTCTTTCGAGGGCCTGATTAATTTCCGCGGTTCCGCGTGAAACGCTATTTTAATTCAGGAACATCGAAGTCCGAATGCGGAACATTAACGAGGTTGCAGCACGGCGAGATATAATAAAATTCTCTTTGACCTCTTTTTTTGCCGCGTTACGCGAAAAGGAGTAAATTAAATTTGTCGGAGAAATTCCCCGCGGGTAGGACGTTGTTCTTTGTCACGGAGCTTCTTACAAGCTCGAAAATGAAATAATTATTTTTCTACGCGAAGCGACTTTTAGAGGATCCTGTAGGATCGCCAGCGACGGCGATGGAGGGAATTAAACGGTTCTACACGTTCATTTTTATGCGCCCGCAAAAACAAAGGAATAATCTCGAAAGCACGATGCGTAAAATTAATCAGATTCGCTCGTTACGTTGTTTGCTTGGTGCAAAGGTATTATACTAGCTTTTCCCGTTATTTGACGCTCCGGTGTCATCTTTTTGCGTGCTTATTCGATCCGAGATTTTGCGCGTAAAACGGGCCACGTGAAATAGTTGCATCGTAGCGAAAGAAAAACAGCCAGTTTTCGCTTCCGTTCCCTTCTTCGAGCAAAATTACTCGGAACACGCTTAAATATTAGTCTCGCGCGTTTTTCCAGCGATGAATTGCTTGCTCGGTGAATTGCAAAACTGCACCAGCTATTCCCGTATATTTTTTCATCGAATGCCGACCGGCTGTTATCGCGTTTTCGTTTCCGCGAGTCGACCAATTTTGCTCTTGTTGATTATTTTCAGTTTCGAGAGGAATGGTGTTTTCGCAATTCTCGATCGCAAAAACCATTTTCCTCTTTTCCGCGCGTCGCATTTGTCAACTTCCGGCGTAGCACTTCCCCGGCTCGCTTTTCACTAGGAATTCGAAATGACGCTTCTCACGCATTCAAACGTAGACATTAATTTTTAACGATGGGTGCATTTCACTTCTTTCATGGCGCTTGACGTCCCGTATATCATTCTTTATTTCTCGAAACGAAAAAGCGAACGGACCCGCGAGATATCTCAACTTAATGAACCCAGTCAAGACCATTTCATTTTCTGACAACGAATAGTACAGATGTTTCTATCCTGTTAGTAGCTGGATTCTCTTGTTTTTGCTGTCCTTTCTCTCCAACTGCAAGGTATTTCATGTTGTAGACCAAGTGCTCCCAGTGTTTCTGCGACTGAAGTTGTTTCATAGGTAAGAAACATAGTCCTTATCTACGGAAACTCTAAAACACTTGGCTTAAAACGTTAACTGTTTCGTAACAGTGTGAAAGAAGTATTCGGTACAAAGCACGAAAAAGACAATCTACTTAGAAGATGGGAGAAAATATTGAAAAATACCTCAAATTATAGTCAAAGAAATGAAATTCAACGCAACAATACCATGTGCCAAGCTTTTGAAGGCTGACCAAAACGTCTGATGTATTCTGAATCACAATTCCCCTTAGAGATCCGTCAGACTTTGTTCGTCAGCATAGTACTTAAGAGGCAGACAGCGTATGTCTGCAGCCTTCCTTGGGGAGATGACAGATTCAACCGAGAAACCAGACAGTATTGTTACGATGCAACAGTAGATTTTTCATTACTTAGATATTCGAATGTTTCGTTTATAGCCTGGCACAGCAATTTCTTCGCTCTGCTCCAAGCAAACTCTTTGATCTTCAAAACTAATTCGATTCGACGAGTCTGAAAGATTCTATTGTTTTAATCGAATACATTCTCACTCGTGTCAAAAGTGTTTTAAGGTTTTTCTTGCAAATAACTGAGCCAAGGACTGAGTTACCGAAAGGTAGTTAGGACCAAACCAACAGAATCTTTAAAATGTCATAACTTCTGAACGGAATGAAGGATTTTAATTTTCAAACTTGCAAACGACGCGTATTTTAATCAAGAATATGTAGAAATTGTAAAAATACTGAAAAATTTGTTCGTTCATCACGTAAAATTAAAAAAAACCACATAAAAATGGTCCAATTTTCAAACAGTCGTAACTCCTATAATAGTGAATATATTTCAATGAAACTTTTTTCTGAAGTAGAGCTCCCAAGTACCTACAAAAAAGCATTAGAGAAGTTTTCTGTAGGACGTCAAACAAAATGATTAAAAATGAAAAACGAAGTTTTAAGAAAAATCGACAGTGCCTCATTTTTCCGGTGAAAAAAAATTCTTTCAAATCGTTCTGAAAGATTCTATTGTTTTAATCGAATACATTTTCACTCGTGTCAAAAGTGTTTTAAGGTTTTTCTTGCAAATAACTGAGCTAAGGACCAAATTACCGAAAGGTAGTTAGGACCAAACCAACAGCAAACATAGTTGATGAGAGCCACAATTGCTCTTGAGATCTAAACTGGGAGTTCAACTTGTGTAATTACTCGTGCATCCTAGAATTTTTAAATCAAAGTAAATTCTAGACAAGTAGTAGTCCTTTTAAGAATTCTAAAGTATTATTGTATTATTTTTTATGTGCATTGTTCTTTATCCTGTATGTGGTGGTCGAAGCTCTGGTTTTAATAAAGGCGTGCTTATATGAACTAATAGCACGTTTAATATACGCTGAATTCTCTTTTCACTCGGTGGGTACGTTTCAAAGTACGCCGCGCAAAACATGACATATTGCTTATGGTAGAACGGAGAATTTCTCCTACAACTTTGAAAAACAGTGTAAACAGTAATGAAACGGTATTTATAACGTGGAAAATTTTTCCGCCTTTCATGTATTTCCGTATATTTTTTCGAATTATCCACGCTTTTATAAAATCGTATGTGTCGTCTGATGTTAGCGTACGGGAAGTCCGTTGAATTTTTTTAAACGAATCCGGGGTTTAATGGTCGAACGTTGGCAGCAAATCGACCATAAAACGTGCATCGATTTTACGCCAAAAGTGCAGACAATTGGAACTCGAGGCGAGAAAAAGAGCTGCGCGTATAATTTCTATAATAGTCGGTTTAACGACCTATTAAAACGATCAGTTTTATATGAAATTTAATAAAAATAGACACAAGGGAAGTATTTACGTTGCATTTCTCACCTTAAACGTCCAACGTCAACTCGCAATGAAATTTTTGTAAGAACGTTCATCCTTTGGAGACATTTCTTTAAAAGTTCTTTTCAACAAACTCGATCTCCCGCTAGGTACACGGGCGTATTGTTCTTCGATAACTTCTTTCGATCATAAAACAGAGTTTGAGAAAATTTGGTTTAAAAATTTACAGCCAATCTCTGCGCTATGGCCTCTGACGCTGACGAGACTCGCGATCCGTTTCATTTTGTCCTGAAACAAACAGAAGGCTGAATCCTCGATGTTCCTGTAATTATACCAGGAGCAACGAAGTCTGGTAAAATTGTACGAAATTGTTGGGAAAGTGTGCGATCAAAAATGCGAATATGTCGTGACTGAAAGTGACCGGTAACCAAATTTATTTGGGGTAATCAGTTACGAAGTAGTTTGTTCATTGATACTATCGTTGAAGTGCGTTCGTTTGATAAATCACTTTGAAATTCTGTTGAGTCTGTGGCGGTGTGCGGTTCCCTACAGAGCACTGGTAAACGAACGATTGCAGCAGCAATTTGTGGTTATTGGCTCTCCAGTTTTTGGCGTGAATTTTACGACTAGCTGGCTTTTCCACCCCTCTTTCATTTCCCCGCTCACGTTAGTTTTAACATGTACATTAATACGCCCGCGTGTTTCCAGTCTTGTAACCGTCAACAAAATTATAATAACGATCGATTTTTCCGTGTGTTTCAGGATGAAAAGAATCAAATACTAACGACGAACGCGTGGCTGAAATTGGTAAGTGGAGACGAACGGTATTAGTCGACGAAATCAAGTTAGGAAATTGATAGAAAGTCGGAGGAAAGAAGAAAATTAAGGAGCTTTAAATTATTATCGAAACGCGGAACGTTTCGTTCGAGGAACAGTTTTGGCATTAAAGTTGCAGAAACGAGGAAGTAGCGGCGTTCGAGCTAAAAAATGAGAAATTTAAAATGCATTTGCGGGGGTAGTATCACCTTTTTCCCTCTTTTGCGACACGGCTCGCTTACAGGAAATCAATATACGGTAACTAATACTTCCCTGTCACGGTTGCTATTCTCATTTCCATCGAGGTGGTATAACGTTCCCGATAAAGAACGCATCCCCGTCACCTAGAACAACAGTCTATGTTGGAAAATAAAGCGTTCAAATAAATTTAGAGTCCTAGGTTTATCAAATTCCGATAATATTTCAAAAATATTTCATCTCTTATTCGATGAAGCGATCTTGCTTCGGACGAAGAATAAAGTTTTTACTTGGAATCGCGTGGAATTCGTAATTTTGTTAAAATATGAATATGCACAACTTCTCATTATTAATGGAGAATATTATTTCCATTATAATGGGCCACGGTTCCCATGCCTTTGACTTTGTGGTTCTCCGTGTTGCTGACTAATAAAATCGATTTTTCATTAACCCTTTGCACTCCGAATTATATTTCAATTTTGTTACCAGCGGCTCCCAATGCTTTTAAGAGCTTTATTTGATATTTACCTGTTGAAAATAAGTGTTTTATTTACGCTGTTGTTGTGTTTTGTCATTTTCAAGGTATCTGTTTGGTTTGGATTTGAAAAAGTGTCGAGTCATAGAAGTGCAAAGGGTTAACATTATTATCAGACCGGAAATGCAGGTGCAGTTGTCGGTGTTATAAAGAGCATCGGATAAAAATGTCTAATTTTGTTCCGACTGATAGCTCGAGAATCGGAAATGAGCAGAGAGGAGGATCTCGAGAAGGGCTCAACTCGAATGGGGGGTTCTTCGAATATATAGAATAAATAAAAGATGGATGGAATGAACGTTGGTCGGACGGGGTTAAATCCGTGATCGAATCTGCAAGAGGGTGGATGCATCATAGTCGATTTAGGGGGCTCCCATCATTCTTTTCGCGTTGCAGCTGGTCAGGGAACTGAAAACTGAGGGGACTGGGAGTCGCGGGGGGATAGGAAACGTAAGGTAAACGGGGTAGTGGGTGGCTCTAAGGCGGAGAGGATTCGAGAAAATCGAGGAAGCAGAATGATGCACTCTTGCGTCTTTCTGCAGCCCCGGTCGGGTCGAGATGAAAAGGACGGGATACGTTTTCTGACGTTGCTGCTTCAAATAAAGGGATGAAAACGAAAAGTTGGAGGACGGTAGCTGCGAGCCGGTGACGTTTTCGGCTTTTCTAAGATACGAAAGTACTGCATGGGAATTTATTTAACAACAGTCTACTACGATGCTCCTTGAGACTACGCGGCCCCATACATTTTTTATCATCTCCTCCATTTTACTCGAAACGCGAACGTCTAGGAAAACCTGCACTTCACTACGACTTCTTATCATCGTTTTAAGACACGGTTGGTTTTACGAGATTTCACATGCAACCTGTATCTTGTACGGAATCAAAGCATGGGATCGATCTTGATCCTATGAAATCCTTGATAAGCAAACATATCCACTTTTTGGAACAGCTTCCTTTTTTCCAAAGTAGTTTCTGAATATTCATCGTTCCTTCAAATAGTGCTTCATAATTTTCTCTGCTCAAACACACACACACGTACACTTCCTGTCGTATCTCAAACTCCAATTCTCAGAATCGAACAAGATGAGTAAGTAGTAACTTACGAAGCAAAAAATTATATTGCAGTTTTGCGACACCTTACGAAACAAGGTATCTGTTCGTAAAATAATCTTACGATATTTTTATTATCCTCTAAAAATATATTCCTGACCTCGTAAAGAGTTCAATCGTAAAAAAAGAACTTGTCACAAACCTGACGCGAGGTATTTATATATATATCGAGCTTGATAATTCTTGACGAAATTCCCTCGCTTTTCAGAAATATTGTATCATTCTATATTTTATAAATTTCGTTATTTATCGCCTCTAACTCAAATTCTCCGCTCCAGTACGAATAGTTGGAATTAATCTATGACTATTAAACGACCCCTCGAACCCTCTTCGTTCCGCTCATTAGTTTCATCCGCCTCTTAAATCACATCGTGTCGATATCGTCCGGCTTTTCAGTTTATAGCTATTTTATTGTCTTCGAAGGAATTGATTTCTGGCTACTCGAAAGATTTCCTTCCATTCGTCACATCATTTCTTATCCCTTTTCACTTCGTCACCCTTTTCCTTCCTTCGAATCTCCCCGGAATCTGATTGTGTCCGAACTCTTTTCGTTCTGCTTTTTGTTTGGTCTCTCGGTTCTCCAGCGATCGGCCAACCCTTCGGGAAACCTGGCGAAATCCTCGTAATAATGCCGAAGATCGATCCGCGGGAGAAAAAAGACACGAACACGGAAACTTTTTTTAGCAATTAATTAGTCCTGGAACTTCCTCGTGTTTTGTAGTTTGATCTATTCCTTCCTTCTCGTTCCTGGGATATGAAAACACGAATTAATTAAAAATAGAATTTAGGCCAGTTTAACGTCGATTAAAAAGGGTACTCTCCATTCCACTTTTTGCTCGAACAGTGAAGAATTTTCATTGATTATTCTAATCGATGTTTGAACAAACCCATTAGGAGCCAATTTTCCTTTCTCGTTCGTTTCAAATGTTTTCCAATAGAAATACGACATTGGATCGAAAGATAAAGTTGATCTTTTTAACCATAATGTATGCTATTGTAAAATGAAAATTGATACTTCGACCGTGAACAGATTAAAAAGTCAGTTAGCGCTAAAAGTCAGTAATTCTTTGGAAATAGTTGCTTCGTATAAATTTCCCCCGGATTAGATTTAAACGGCGTGAATGTTTCATTTCAATTACCATCGCTATTTTTTTCGTTTCTTTTTTGCTCGTGAAAATTCCTGGTCGCCTGCAACGACGAAACTTAACAACCGGCGGGTTTTCCGTTCCCCGGGTGTCTGGGCATTAAAACTACATAGCGAGATTCTCGGCTAATGACGAAGTTCCGCGGAAGAGAGTATTAATTCCCGCGGCGTCGGCCGCTTTGAAGTGGCCAATCAAACTTGCGAATGCATTAAGCTAAATAGAATTTCGAAGCAGCGCTTGAACGCGACGTGACTGGCTTAATTCATAGACTGTTATGAAATATACAGGCGCCCCGTTGCACCTCCAGACGGACACACACCTGGTCAGTCGGTGTTCATTCGCGTATCGAGGTCCTTTTCTCCATATTATCGAGAAAGAGCATTCGAGAACTCGAGCAGGGATCTTTTCTCTAGGGTCTCTTCCTCAACCCTGGTTCAGACGTTGCAAAATACCCAAAAAAACAGAATATGGAAAGGTCATTTTGTAGTCAAGGTTCTCATAGTCAAGTCCTGTAATAAAGGAAAATTTTCTCGGTGTCTCGGTTTTCTCACGCCAAGGTGAATAAGTTGCGATGGTAGGAAAACGAAGTCTACGGGGTGTCGTTAGAAGCGACAAGTATTAATAACCCACGATACAGGGGAATTAGATTGTCCGAAATCACCGTAGCTATCCGTTCAATCGATATCCCTGGAGATTTTCAGGTGGATCCTTGCTTTCCGGTGTTTCCGGCCAGGAGCTCATAAATCAGTCTATCGCAACTACACGAATTCTCGTGCGGATATCCGAAGTCGTGCATTACTCTTTACGAAGGAACGAATTCCTTTGTAGGGAAAGATTTACTCGGTGCGGGTCTCTTTGTCGATGTATCGATTAAGGACCCACTCTTTTATACCGCGCCGCGCTCGAACTCGGATAGAAACCGAATCAAACGTCGCCATCGCGAACGAATTTCAGGGAAAAAGCGATCACAATGGCGCGAAACGAAACATTATTTACAGAATGGTCGAAAAGAGCTTAATAAAGAAACATTCCTTACGTTCGAGACAAGATACACTCAAGTTTTGGCATTGGCTGCTAAATATTACCCAAAGGTGTAATTAAGTTTAGGAAAATTCAATCTAAATGTAAAACGAAAAGTCTTTTAGCGTTATCTAAAAAATTGCTTCGTTCGAAAAGGCACAAGGAGGAAATTGGGTTGGTAATGAAAGTATATTGTTTCGAATATTCTACAGTTTTTAAAATCAACGCGAGCTTACCGAATAAATATTGTTCTTTATTAAGCCGTTTCGTACTGTAGAATCTCGACGTTTTTGGCAGGTATTTGTCCACGCCATTTTACAGAATTTCGCGCGATAAATTCCGAAAGTATTCAAATATTTGCCCATGCAGGATTCGAGCGCGTATTTTTCTTCGATCCATGAACCGTGATGCATGGCAGTTTGCAAAATGTTTCGAGAACTCCCCTCACGCTCTACAAGAGACTGACACGCAGCTGAGCTTCGCGGCCATAAGTCAAAACTATGGAATAAAGTTCTGGCTGGTAGTCGACGAAAAACAAACCGAGTAAATCGGCCTGTTGGCCATCTGATTTGTTACCAGGGTTTAGGGTGATAGTAAATGCTTAGAATATCGCGAAGATAGTAGATTATTCTGGGTCGTTCGATAATGACCTAAATTCTGGAGAGAAACGTACTCGAAAAAGGATAAAAAGAACTACAAAAGCCCCGACGACATTTTTCGTCGGCTTTCCTACGGTCCATAGACGAACGTGTGTACAGAAAGGGTGACCGATCAATAGTCAATCAAACGGGCTTCCGTGCTAATCGCTTACGAAACGAGTTTACTGTCGACGGAACTATTCATTCCCTTCCGGTCTAGTCGATCCAGACATTGTAGACAGACTTCATCAAGGACAGGGACGATGAAACGAGTTTATGATACGATCGTCATTTCTTCGTCATTTTTTACATCAAACGTTTCTATGCAGTTTCGATTCTTTTCGTAAC